GTTTGTGGCCTGGAGATTTGCACAGGTAACTTTTTTTTGAATGATGACAATTAAAATTAAAGCACAAACTTATGCACATTAACACATGAAAAACATCCCTACAAAGTCCAGAATTCCGTAGCTGGCTTGACCCGCTGGAGAATTCTGGGAGTCATTTTTTTCCTGTCTAAAACTCCCAGCATTCTTTAGTTAGCATGGTTGTGGAATGCAGCTACTGCAAGCAGTATCAAAGCCTATGGAAAGTCATATCCAGACTTAAGGAATTTCTCCTCATGATCTGAAACAACAAGGGCCTACAGTAGTTCTTATTTCACTCTTAAACTGTTTGGAAAAATTGGATACTAGATGATAGTAGCATGTAGAGTGTGCTCACCTTTATATTTATTTGTTTATTATTTATTAAAAACTTTTGTATGCTGTCCTTTATATAAATATCTCAGGACAACTTACAGCAATTTAAAAGAAAAAATTAAAAAAGCATCCAACAACATCCAATAACAATTAAAACAATAGCACTGTGTAAAACAATAAATAAACATTAAATAAATCAGATTAAATCCAAACAAAACAAAGCAAAAGCGACTGCAAAACCATTAAAACTATTAATTTTTTTAATACCACTTAAATAAAAAGGTTTTGACCTGGCGCCAAAAAGAGTATAAGCTTGGCGCCAGGCGTGCCTCTCTGAAGAGTGCATTCCACAGTCTGGACGCCACCACAGAGAAGGTTCTACTCCAAGTTGATGTCCATTTTACCTCTTTTAGAAAGGGTTCCCAGAGCAGGGCTTCTCCCGCAGATCTTAAGGGGCGTGAGGGCATATAAGGATGGTGACGTTCCTTCAGGTATCCTGGTCCCAAGCCGTTTAGGGCTTTATAGGTCAAAACCAGCACCTTGAATTGGGCCTGGACATCAACTGGAAGCCAGTGGAGCTAATGGAGGACCAGCATCATGTGAGAGTAATGGCCGGTCCCTGTCAGCAGCCTGGCAGCTCTATTCTGTACCAGCTGAAGTATCCAGACCGTTTTCAAGGGCAGAGTGCATTACAGTAATGGTGGTTACCAGAGCATGTATCACTGTTGCTAGGGAGTGCTTGTCCAGGTAAGGACGCAGCTGGTGGACCAATCAAAGTTGTAGGAAGGCACTCCTTGCCACCGCCACCACCTGGATTTCCAGTGACCGCTCCGGGTCAAGGAGTACTCCCAGGCTACAGACCCTGTCCTTTAGAGGGAGTGCTAGAAGTTGCCATAATCTCTTCTAGTTTACTTTGATTTCTTGACAGTTCCATGTTACAGACAATTATTCATGCTGGCTAGATCGAATGCCATTCTGTCAGGGAAGTTATTGGGATGTTTAAATAAAGCTGCCTTATTCTGAGCGGGTGTGTCACTGCCGCTCTGGCCAAATAGACACTCTCCAACATTGTCTATTGCGACATCCTTAATGTGCAAAAGATAGTTGGGTAAAACCCTATATTCAGGACTCCATATGCAATTTGAATAAATTTAGGTTTCTTTTGGCAGGGGTGGATTTTAATATTACATTGGAAGGTGCTAAGTTCTTTTCTCACTTGATTAAGATTAAAAATTACTAAATTTTTATATCATATAGATAGATCTATCAATAAACTCTTTTACCCTGCCCGGCTCCTTGTCTTTCAGCCAGAATTATTAGGCTAGTGAGTGCCAGGCTCTTTCTCACTTCAGAATTCTCTTCTCAAGAAGAACACATATCATTTCCTCTCTATTTGTTTTAGGAGAACCCTAAATATGACCCTATTCTGATCATGTTTTGAATATTAAAATTCATTTTAATTGTTTTTATTTGATATGATAAGCTTCCAAGTGATGGTAGATATTCTAAAGAGTGGCATGTGAAATAAACAAATATTTCACGTAATAGCCTTCAGAAAACAAGTTATCCTAATGTTTTGTTCTAAAGGCCATTCTCATTTTTAGTGTTACTATGCTTCACCTCCAATGCAGCATGGTGGTTGGGCTGGAGACCCTAGGAGATCCTGGTTCTATTCCTCACTTTGACCATGGGGCTTACTGGGTGACGTTGGCCAGTCACTCACTGTTGGCCTAACCTTTCTCACAGAGTTATTGTTGTGAGGATAAGATGGAATAGAGGGTTCTTTATGTGAGAAACGCAAGCGGGATATAAATATAATACATTAATAAATCTGGGGCACTTTTTAAAGGTGTTCCTATAAATATTTTTTGATACTGGTATCTAACCAGGAGCACTATGCATATGCTTCTATACAAGAAGGAAAATTTGTACACCTCTATTCCCATATAGCAGTTAGGATTTTGTGGCCGTCAACCTTTTAAAATCTGGAATGTTATTACCTGGCTATCCAGAAGGGGAAGTTTTCAGTTCCACAAGCAGTTAATTCTCTCTTTCCCACTAACCAGCAGATTGGCAGGATTTTAGCTTCTTTTACTGAAGTATGCATCCATTTAGGTTGAGATGCTCTACTCAAACTTTGTTGGATCCAGACATACACAGTGCCTGTGCTGGGAAACTGGAATATACCAAGTGTCTGCTTGTTTTAGACAGAGTATCAAATATATCCAAATATGAGATGGATTGACCCCAAAAAGGAAGTCAGAGCCTTGAATTTACAGGAGCTGTCATGATTAAGACATTTTGCAGGGGCACAGAATAAATCAGATAGTGTTTTCTTCCATGTAATATGTGTAGTGGTAGCTGCTACTTGGTAACTGTTAGGTTTGGCTAGCAGATTATGAAACTACATCCATATGGCTCTGCTTCTGTGCCTTATAATTGGTCCATGAAGCAGAAATTTATGTTATATTCTTTTCTGCGTCAGGCAAAATCCTTTTTATTTTTCCATTATTTTAATATTTAATTGATATTAACTGGAATTTTCGTATATTAATTGTCGGATGCTGTGGGTGTTGTTTTATTCTACTTATTTATTGTAAGGCATCCCGAGATGTTCTGTAGGGGACAGGATAGAGAAGCGCTTAATAAATAAATAAATAAAATTTACCATACCAAGCTTTTCCTTGTGCCAGGAAAAATATCCATTCTATGTATTTTACCACTTGCATAGAACAATGCCAGAAAAAAAGAAGAAAGATGGCAGTCTTAATCTGGAAAGCTGTGATCCAGGATGGTCTTAACATGCACACCTCCATGAAAGTTCTGTTTGTTTAATAAAATAAAGCATAATTATAGACTATTTTTTCCTTTTTTAGCATGTACAGATGAAGTATTTTACAGAAGTAATTTGGATCGGAAACTTTTGCTTAAGAAGATTACTTGTAAATGAGAAAGGTAAGTGAAATGTAAATTAAACACATACTTCTGTAGCATGGATCTGATAAACTAAGACTATTTATGTAATAACTTGGTTAGTCTTTAAGGTGCAAACTACATGATTCAATTAGTTGGTGCTTCCATAGTTAGTTGAAAATAACTGTGTGAAGAAATGGCTCTGTTAGAGAGTTAACCCTCTCCACATTTCATTTCCTTGAGCTAAATCCCAAATGTCCTGTTCAAATTGCATGGACTGGAAATGTGTAGCTGATGAGGCCCCTGCTCAGCCCTTGCCCTTTGCACTCTCTTATCGGTGATGATGGCCAGGTCTGGACAAACTCACTGAGTTTGTCTGTCTGGACAGACTTATGCTATAAGATGTCATTGAGCAAGACCTGTGTTCCAGCCATGCTACTGAAAGAAGTATTACGACCTTTATTGAGAGAGAGAGAGAGAGAGAGAGAGAGAGAGAGAGAGAGAGAGAGAGAGAGAATGATCCGGATTTCACTAATTTAGATAATTAATATCCAAATTTTGAATATGTCATTGTTGGAAGCTGTGCTTGAGCATGTTGTGACAGTCAAGCTCCATGTTTTTCTGAATGAAACCTATCAATATGCTTTTCAGTCCAATTTTGGGACAGAAGCTGCCTTGGTCACTCTAGTGGATGACTCGCATTAGGATATAGACCAGTTGAGTGTGTGTGTCCCTTTTGGACTTCTCAGCAGCACGTAGTACCAGCAAAATCCTTCTGGAGGACTGCAGGAAAGGAAAGGGCACTATACATATGTGGATGTGGATCCATTTTATATGGATTTTAACTTACTGTTTTATCTATGTTGTAAGCCGCCCCGAGGCTTCGGCGAATGGGGCGGCATAAAAATGTTTTAATAAATAAATAAATAAATAAATAAAATATGTACTTTTTGTTATAACAGATGGTACTAGAAGGCTACTTTTCAAAACACTTCAATTTAGTCAACTTTAGCTACTCTTGATTTTAACTGATTTAGTAGACTCATTTCCATCAGGTTCCAGGCTTTGTTTGGAACAAAAACAACCTTGATTGCCCTGTGGGATGACCTTTGTCAAAAGAGGCATGAGGAGTGGATGTGACCCAGTGAATTCCCTGGAATTCTTAGCAGTTTTCAGTACCATCAACCATTATATTTTTCTGGATAGGTTGTCTGGGTTGGGTGTTGGAGGCACTATATTGCTCCTGCTTGGATTTCTGATTCCAGAAGGTGCTGCCTAAGTGAAGTTCAATCTGTTCCGGAGGGAGTTGCATTATCCTTGAAGGATTATGTCTGTTGTTTTAGGGATGCTTTTGGATCCTGTGTCATTAGAGGCTCAGCTGGACTTGCTGGCACAGAAACTTTTTATCAGCATAAGCTATTAGCCAACTACACCTTATCCAAGCAGAGACAGTTTAGCTATAATTATCCACACTGTAGTAAGCTTTTGTCTGATTTACTGTAGTGCATTATGAGGACAGCCCAAAAACTCCAAAATAGAACAGCAAGATTCTTAATAGGGACTGGCCAAAGTGATCATATGACTTTTCCGTGTGCATTCGCCAGCCAGCCCATGACCAGGCCCAATTCAATGTATAATCAAAGCCCTAAACTATTTGGGGCCAGGTTACCTGAGAGATTGTCTCCTTCCATATATGCCTGTCCAGTATCTAGCGTTGTCTTTATCAGTCCTCTGAGACCACCACCACCCCTTCAACAAAGGAAGTGAGATGGGTGGGTACTAAAAAGCAAGGAGGTCCCTAGTCATGGAGTAAGTTTCCTATGTTCTGTTCTTTCACCAAAGGTGAAGAGTATATTTTGCAAGGCATTTCAGTTTTTCCTTTGTGTTGTTTTAAATCTATTATTGTATTTTAAATCTTCACATTGCTGCAAGATTTCACCTTAGTTTTTATTTTATACAGTAGTTGTAAATGTTCCTGTTGTATGTTATGATGCTGTATTGTTTTAATTGTTGTAAACTTCCCTGAGAACCTCAGCTATTGGGTGGTATAACAATTTTAAAAATAAACACGTTTTTAAAAATTAAAAGAGAGACAGAAGCAATGTGGGGAAAACAACTGAGGGAAAATTTAGCAGGGAGAGATCTGCAGTGGGATAAAGAGAAGCTTCAGGTGAATGATTTAGCTCAGATTTAACATATGTATGCAAGCACAACCTTCCACAGAATCACTGCTTTACTCATAATCTGAGCCCCTGTGATTGCATGCAGCTGCAGTTGTCCCTTTGTTACAGCAGGTTAGCACATCTACTCTTCTATTTTGAATGAATATCCAAAAAGTAATCCCTTTTTAATGAAAGAAGACTAGAATAAACAAGGAATGTTGTTTGGATGTGAGAGTCTAAGAAGGTTAGGTGAATTTAAAAGAAGTATTGTGAGAGAGCTCAGTTGAACTAACTTTAGTAGATACAGCTCATCCCTTTCCACATGTAAATCTGGCACTGATGTTAACATGAAGGGGAAAGTATGATTAAATGAACCTGAGTTTGTCAGATCTTAGGATTAGAATCAATTACCACACTGAACAGCATAGCACCACACATTAAATTACATATAATAAAATTATATGCATATTAATTGGAAGTACCAATCCATTCATTGGTGCTTGTTTAAATTTATTAGGGAAGAAGTGCTTGTTAGTTGCAAAGTCGTGCCCGACCCATGACGACCCCATGGACAACATTCCCCCAGGCTCTCCTGTCATCCACCATCACTCAGAGTCCACCCAAGCTCACATCCACTGCCTCAGTGACTCCATCTAGCCACCTCATCCTCTGCCATCCTCTGCCATCCCCTTCTCCTTTTTCCAACAATTGTGCCCAGCATCAGGGTCTTCTCAGTGAATTGTTCCTTCTCATTAGGAGGCAAAAGTATTTGAGTTTCGTTTTCAGTATCTGGCCTTCTAAAGAGCAGTCAAGGTTGATCTCCTTTATGATCAACTGGTTTGATCTCTTTGCAGTCCAAGGGACTCCCAAGAGTCTTCTCCAGCACCACAGTTCAAAGGCCTCAATTCTTCAGCGCTTCCTTATGGTCCAACTTTCACAGCCATACATTGCAACTGGGAAAACCATAGCTTTGACTATACAAACTTTTGTCAGCAGGGTGATGTCTCTGCTTTTTAGTATGCTGTCTAAATTTGCCATAGCTTTCCTCCCAAGGAGTAAGCGTCTTTTAAGTTCGCTTACTGCAGTCACCATCTGCAGTGATCTTGGAGCCCAAGAAAATAAAATCTGTCACTACCTCCATTTCTTTCCCATCTATTTGCCAGAGAGTGATAGAACCAGATGCCGGGATCTTCGTTTTCTTAATGTTGAGTTTCAAGCCAACTTTTATGCTCTCCTCTTTCACCAGCATCAAGCGGCTCTTTAGTTCCTCTTCACTTTCTGCCATTAGAGTGGTATCATCTGCATATCTGAGGTTGTTGATATTTCTCCTGGCAATCTTAATTCCAACTGGTGATTCATCTAGGCCAGCCTTTCACATGATGTGCTCTGCGTATAAGTTAAACAGGCAGGGGGACATTATACAGCCTTGCCATACTCCTTTCCCAGTTTTAAACCAATCAGTAGCTCCATGTCCAGTTCTCACTGTTGCTTCTTGTCCCACATACAGGTTTCTCAAGAGATAAATAAGATGTTCTGGTACTCCCATCTCTTTAAGAACTTGCCACGATTTGTTGTGATCCGCACAATCAAATGCTTTAATGTAGTCAATGAAGCAGAAGTAGATGTTTTTCTGGAACTCCCTAGCTTTCTCCATGATCCAGCGTATGGATGCTGGCAATTTGATCTCTAGTTCCTTTGCCTCTTTGAAACCCTGTCTGTACTTCTGGTAGTTCTCGGTCCACATATTGCTGGAGCCTAGCTTGTAGGATTTTGAGCATAACTTTGCTTGCATGTGAAATGAGTGCAATGGTATGGTAGTTCGAACATTCTTTGGCATTGCCCTTCTTTGGGATTGGAATGTAAACTGACCTTTTCCAATCCTGTGGCCACTGTTGAGTTTTCCAAATTTGCTGGCATATTGAGTGTTTTACTGCATCATCTTTTAGAATTTTGAATAGCTCAGCAGGAATACTGTCGCCTCCACTATCTTTGTTGTTGCTCAGGCTTCCTAAGGACCATTTGACTTCACATTCCAGGATGTCAGCGACCACCCCATCGTGGTTATCAGGGACGTTAAGCTCTTTCTGTATAGTTCTTCTGTGTAATCTTGCCACCTCTTCTTAATCTCTTCTGTTTTGGTTAAGTCCCTGCAATTTTTGTCCTTTGTCATGCCCATCTTTGCATGAAACGTTCCCTTCGTATCTCCAGTTTTCTTGAAGAGATCTCTGGTCCTCCCTATTCTGTTGTTTTCCTCTATTTTTTTATACTGTCCATTTAAGAAGTCCTTCTTACCTCCTCAAGCAATTCTCTGAAATTCTGCATTTAATTCCCTTTCCCCCTTGCCTTTTGCTTCCCTTCTTTCCTCAGCTATTTGTAAAGCTTCATCAGACAGCCATTTTGCTTTCTTGCATTTCCTTTTCTTTGAGATGGTTTTAGTTGCTGCCTCTTGTACAATGTTGTGAACCTCTGTCCATAGTTCTTCAGGCACTCTGGCTGTCAGATCTAATTCCTTAAATCTATTTGTCACCTCTACTGTATATTCATCAGGAATATGATTTAGGTCATACCTGAGTGGCCTAGTGCTTTTCCCTACTTTCTTCAATTTAAGCCTAAATTTTGCAACGAGAAGCTCATGATCTGAGCCACACTCAGCTCCTGGTCTAGTTTTTACTGACTGCATAGAGCTTCTCCATCTTTGGCTGCAAAACACATAAGCAGTCTAATTTCTGTGCTGACCATCTGGTGATGTCCATGTGTAGAGTCATCTCTTGAGTTGTTGGGAAAGGGTGTTTGCTATGACCAGCGTGTTCTCTTGACAAAATTCTACCAGCCTTTGCCCTGCTTTATTTTGTACTCCAAAGCCAAACTTGCCTGTTATTC